CCCAGGTCAAAGGTCAAAAGAGGGACCGGGTGCAACCTGGCCCCATTCACAAAAAAATGCCCGCCCCTCCAGCCATGCAAAAACGCCCCAGGCCTTCACAATAAAAACGTCCTCAGAGCAAACAAAACATCAACACAAAAACCTCAGAACAGGCGCCAGGTCCAAAACGCAGAGCTAGAGAATGACGACGCCTTTAAAAAAAGTTATTTATTTATGTTACTGGATGACAGCGCATGAGAAGCCGCCCACTCCGAGTCTTTACTCACAGAAGTAACACATTAAATTACTTTCTCTGCTGCTCCTTTGCTTTCCGTTGCTATTTTTAACATGCAGGATAACATAAAACTGGAAAATAAAACCCATCAAAACACCTTTCAAAAAGGTCTTGTAAAAATGTTCTAAGAGTAACTAGAATAACACCCCAGCTACAGCAGGAAAGGAACTTAGTTCCAGGGCGTGACACTGTTTTTCATCCATTACTATTACACCTCCCAAAAAGACCTAGTCACACAGGTAACAACTTTACTTCCAATGTCTAACTTCCACACCCTGCCCCCCCCAAGATCAAAATGTCCTCTGATACACTGCCCTGGAACCTGGAGGTTTTATTCTAGTCCGTCGTAGTAGAGAGAGAAGGCGTTTATTAATTTCGGTGCATCGTCTCCTGCCTTCCTTGCAGCCCAGGGACGGGAGGCAGCTCCCCAGGAGATGAAAAACAGGTAGCCACGAAAAGAGGCAAGCGGCTGTAATGGTAACACACCATTAAACAAATTATCACTTAAAAGCACGCTTAATTTAAAAGCAATTGGAAAGCACAATTGTGATAAAGCCTGTACGGCAGGCGGCCAGGCAAAGCGCATTCCTTGGGGAAACCTGCATTAGAGAAGGCCGGCGGGAATTAGAAAGTCTTTGGCCAGCTGAGCAAAGAACCACCGAGGCCGGGGGGGGGGGGGGGGAGAGAAAGTGCACCCCACCCAACGGGCCTCCAAGGAGAGCAAGAGGACAAGAGAAAGAGACCCCCCCCCTCTAAGCCTCTCAAAGCCTACCCCGGCTGCTCAATGCCCACTGAGTGAAACGGAGGGCCCAGATCCGTTTTCACCTTTCTTGGGTGCTTTTCTGTGCGGGAGGTAAGAACAGGTAACACCCACCCCACCCAGACAGAAAGGTGACGAGGCCCCCTCCTCCCCACCGCC